GAGGCAGATGAGCTATTGGTATCTAGAAACCTTTTTTTTTCAAATAATAAGGGAGACAATTTAATTATTCCAACTGTCTTTTTTTTTTTTTTTTTTTTTTTTTTTTTTTTTTACCTTAGGAGAAACAAATTCGCTGCCTCACCACTAAATCTGAATGAACAGCTTAGAAATTTCTTAAAAAGAATTGCAGAGCTCATCTGTTTCTGCGTTCATAGTCTTCATCTCTGCACAGGTGTGTGTCTTCAAGGTGATTTATGGTTCTGCTCCTCAGTGGTGCTTCAGCTGTGGAGAAATAGGTGTAGAGACTCGGACACTGTGCAGATGATTCTGTAAATCAGGAGACTGTTAAAGTCCTTCTTCTGAAAATTGATTTTAACATGAAATTGTTACAGGTGGTGAGTGTCTTCTCTGCCTTCTGCTGAAGTTTAGGGGCTCTTCTGGGCTTCAGAACTGCGTATTTTTGCTATATCTGGACCAGATTTCTGTTTTCTGGCTATTTTTTCTGGGCTGTATATCTTTTGGTGCTGCCTGGAGATTYCTCCTTTGGAACAAATTTTATTCTCATGAAAGCGAGCTGCCATTATTTTTATTTCTTTCGAAAAGAGGTCTTAAAAAAAGCCATATTTTCTGTAGCCACACAGGAAACTGAGTACAATTATGGTTGTTTTAGATAGAAATGATGGCAACTCCTCTTCCCATCAACTCTGGAACCAAAAGCTCGAGCTTTAAAACACACATTATATAGAATACCAGTGAAGAGTGTTGTGTCTCCCTAAAATCCTGAGTGTCTAACATCATGAACTCATATGTCATTCTGTTTGCAGCTGCATTTACCTCAGCATCAGCTGCTGTGAATTTCACTGCCTCGTTTTATAATGTATGCTCAATGTGTTCATATTTATATTTAATGCCCACCACATGAAAGAATAAATAGGGTTGATTCATTTTTTTTTTTTTTTTAACAGAGACTTGCTGTTTCACAAAATGTGCTCTATTTTTTTAAATTATAGAAGGAAATGTGGCCCAAACACCTACATGGTCTTTACTCAATCACTTTTGTCGTTATGGTTTTGAAATATTGTGAATCCACACCATTTTTTTGGAGTGCAGGTTTCTTTCTTAATCATCATATCGTTGTCTCAAGCAGATGTCTCTTGGAGCAACACTTCTGCCAGAAATTCTGAAAGTTCTCATTCTTTGGTGTTATGAGGTAGTTGAGGGAAATTATCTCCACTTCAAGCTAATTGAGAGAGAATTCTTCTCTCATGCCTAATTCAGGGTGGTGCACCTTCACTTTTGCAGATATTTCTGTCCCAGAAACTAGAACATTGAATAGCAAATAGTTTTAAGTCGTAGCAAATAATTCTCCTCCATATTTTTTCATTTTTCATTTCAAATTAATTATGGCAACTGTTCTGGTCTATCTCCTTTCACAAGGAACTCTTGGTGTCTGTGGGGTGGAATTCCTCTCTCTGCACATCCCCTCACACCACAAAAGCCGTTTTCATAAACTCTGAATTTCTGTTCCTGACAAGGATTGATGGGCTAACATCACAGAGATCTGCATTATTTATAAACAGGGGCTGGGTTCCTTTATTCAGGCTGTCCTTTGCTGTCAATCCTTCGATTGAACTCCGCAGTCAAGAATCACGCGACGTTTCGTGGGGGTTTTATGGGATCAAAAAAAAAAAAATAAAAGAAGAAAATGTTATATAAATGTTTAAAGTTCAGCAAAGGATGTGCATGCAACTTCTACCCAATTCCACACCACTACCTGGTTGTGGAAAGGAACAATAATTGTACATTCAGCATTTTATTGAAAAGGGTGTGGCTTAAAAGTGATTATATGGATGTGTGTAAGGGCGTATGATGAACTTACAGAATGGTTTTACTCTGGTTATTTT